GACATAAGATTTATTCTTCTTCTGCTACCTTTCATTTTATTTAGATTTTTGATTTGTGTATTTTCTTTGTTTTTTATTGTATATAGTTATTTTTTAATGAAATGAATACATTTTTGAATTCAATTGAAGTCTCAGTCAACCAGAACATGACAAATGTGGAAAGTTTGCGGTTCCAAGCTTTGAACTGCTTGATTTTGGTATCAATATCTGGATCGCAGGCTCCGTGTACTCCCACCTCGCTGACATGAAAGATGAAATGTGACATGACGGTTCAGACTGAAGTCATTTTGAAAAACATCAGATCTGGATCTGATTTAGTACCACAAATAAAAAATACCTGGATCAGATTTGAAAAWTTTGATCCGTCACATTCAAACTATCATAAAATGACCCAGTATGGGTCAGATAAGGGCAGAAAAAATAGGGTTTTAGTCACTTGTTTAGCCTGTGGTGTGAACGAAGCTTAAGCTTTTTTTTCACCTTCCAGGCACTACTCCAAACATTAAAMCAACTTTCAGCAATTTATTCTTCTAACAAGACGTGCTTATTTTGTTTTTACTCATTCAGGGCAAATAATTACAGCACAAAGTACAACAAAAAACTGTTTCAACAGAAAAAAAAAACGATCTGAAAGAGTAAATAATCTCTGCTGCTGCTTTAGAATTCAGGAAGTTTTCTCAGCATTCTGCTGCTGAGACGTGTCCTGCTGCTAGCTCTGCTAGCTGTGGTTTACTTTCACTGAAGCTGAGCTCACTATAATCCTTTCGAAATAAATCACAACAACAAAATCACTTGCTTTGATGCTTCAAATTGTATTATTGTGTTTTTGTWTAGACRGGTGATTATGTCCTGATTKTTATCCATGAAATCTGCTTCTCTGCATTTTAATTTTTGCTCCCACTCACGTTTTCGAAGGAAGTAAAATTCATTATCTAAGCAGTCCTCGCAGCTCGCCAGGTGGTTTTGTGTTCCAGCTGCTGCACTCAATCTGTTAATGCTGGAAATTATTCTTGTACTATTAAAATAAAAAAAATCACCTGTGCTCATTTTTTCTTTCCTCCTTTAGGGACAAAGACAAACGCTGCTATTTAGCGCTACGATGCCTAAAAAGATTCAGAACTTTGCAAAGAGCGCCCTGGTCAAACCGGTCACTATTAACGTGGGCCGAGCCGGAGCTGCCAGCTTGGACGTCATCCAAGTAAGTTTATCTTTTCATAGAATATTTCGTTTGAACTAAAAGCATTTTACCAAAAAAATAAATGACATTTTGTAATGGTTTTACAGGAAGTGGAATACGTCAAAGAGGAGGCCAAGATGGTGTACCTCCTCGAGTGTCTCCAGAAAACCCCGCCTCCTGTACGTACCTCCACCTGTTGTTACACAAACACACCTAACCTAACAAACGTGAGGGGAAATGAGTCTGAATGCTGTTTTTATTCTGACAGGTGTTGATATTTGCTGAAAAGAAGGCCGACGTTGACGCCATTCATGAGTATCTGCTGCTAAAGGGAGTGGAGGCCGTGGCCATACACGGAGGAAAAGGTGAGCAGAACAATAAAAAAAGCAGTCACAGAAACAATATATTCAGAAAAAAATTGTGTTTTAATTTTTATTTATTTTCCAAACTGGACACGTTTTTCTTCAGTCCTCTTGTTTTCCTTCAGTCCTCTTGTAGTTCCTCATTACGACCACCAGATGTCACTAATGCCACAGGTTTTATGTGTGATTTTCTTGAACAAATGCTGTTTTATCAAATTATGTATATATTTTCCAGATCAGGAAGAAAGAACAAAAGCCATTGAAGCTTTCAAAGAAGGAAAAAAAGACGTTTTAGTTGCTACAGATGTTGCTTCTAAAGGTCTGGATTTCCCAGCTATTCAGCATGTAGTGAACTACGACATGCCTGAAGAAATAGAAAACTACGGTAAGAGGGTTCAGATATAATTGACTTTGTTTTATAAACATGTAAACATTGTGTATGTATGAGTTTGTCTCTATTTTCTCGCACCGATGTGTTGAAACTGTCTCGATTGTAGTCCATAGAATTGGAAGAACCGGACGATCAGGAAAGACTGGGATCGCCACAACGTTCATCAATAAAGGCTGCGGTAAGGAAGCAGTTTGAAGGACAGAGATGGTCTAGCTACTCTCAGTTTCTGCTTTAATGAAACAGCCATGAAGGCCGTTGCTTTTTCTTTTCCACATCCTAACATGATGACCATCGAAAATGATCTTTATTGTTTCTGCGAAACAGGAAGTGAAAAGAATGTCTTTTTAATGGCCATTTTAGATAATGAAGTTTTTATTCTTGTCTCTAAGCAGATAAATAACTCGTTAATCCTGAAGCAGAGTGGTTGTGTGAAGGTTTCTCATGCAGCAGTTTTGTGTCAGGATTCTGGGCATAAATATACTCAGCACAAAAAGTAAGGAAGTGTGTGTTTGGTATTTTTTTTTTGTTGTAACAATGATTCTTGGCTATAAATCGTATGATTGGCAGCACCTCGGGGCCACCAGAAGCTCAAAACAAGAGTCAGTATCAACAGCAAATTAAGCTGTTTGGCAAATTTTTTATGTGTGCAACCCACATACTCAGCTCATCCCACAAATGCACGTTCCTTACAAATTTGGCACCATTTAAAAGAGAAATTAACAGGCTTTCTAGCAGTATAAGATTTACTGCCAAGAAGCATCGTTACAACAAAGAAATAATCTACCAAACACAAATTTCCTTACTGTTTGTAGGCCTGTCGCGATAGTCAATAAATCAATTAATTGCACAATAACTTTTTTTGAGGTCGGTAAAAAAATGAGGACAATAAGTTTCATTTTCCTTCTTG